GCGAAGTCCCTGGCTTCTAGGACTTGAGGGGGACTGGGAAGCAATGCAGCTGGCAACCATTGCCTTACAGGACCCCCTTCTTCTGGGAGCGGTAAGGGCCAGGGGAAGCAGGGGAGAACACCGCTCGTGAAACACTGTTCCCCAAAGATATGCTCTTCTGTGGTGGACTCTTCAACACGTGTAACCTGTGATGCTCACCCTGTTTCCCAGGACAGAGGGAACAGTCTGGCTAGAGCAGAGATGGCAGTACAGAGACCTGGCCCATCTGGCAATGAAGAAAAGGACCAAGTAACTATCTGCACCCCACGAGGGGTTCTCTGTGCACCTCATCCCCACTCTCCAGCGTGGCTTCCCCCATAGTTGGCTGCACCTCACGCGTGGTAACTTTGCAGGCCAGAGTTGGGAGGAACCTCACACATACACCCACAATTTCTGTGACACACAATCAGCTCAGACAGGAGGATGGAGCAACATTTACAAACCAACCGACGAAATGAAGAAATATATAAATAGATATATAAATATAACTGTGTTTTTATGCTTTGTCATGAAGGTCTGTAAAAAGGAAAAAAAAAAAAAAAGAACAAATCCCCAATTTTCTAAAAAACCCAAGCAAACAAAACCAACAAAAAAACCAAAATAATAATTAAAAAACCCTACAAAAATAAAACTCCAAGTCCCATCCCTCCCCGCCACCTGAATGGCAGACGAGTTCCTCTGACCTTTGATGCTCCTCTTTCACTCTAGGGTTTTGTTTCCTTTCTGTTTTGCACTACAATGGGATGGTGGTATTGGAGAGGATTGGATGCCAGCTCCACCCCCGTCGCCTCCTCCTCCTCCCCCTTTCCCAAATCCTGTCTCTGGGGAGCAGTGTGGACAAGTCACATCTGACAAAGTTACCAAACACATCAGTCGACAAAAAAAGCACTCTGAGTCAACAAACGTTTTCCATGTCACTGGTTGGCAAACAAAGAAAACAAGCCCAGCTGCGCTCTAACTGCGCTGTGTGGTGGAAAGTGTGGGGCTTCATGTGGGCCCATCTGATTGCCCTCTGGACAGCTGAGACTGAGATGGACAAATTCAGGATTGGCTGGGATTATTGCTTGGTTCCCTAGCCCTTAGCCGCCGCTCCTTTTACCTTAACCCCTGTACCCGTGACGACTTCAGTTCACCTACGTCCCAACTTTTGCAATTTTAGATATGCCCAACACCCATTCTCCAGATCCCCACAGCTGGTGACAACAACCTCATTATCTGTGCCCAACACCTAATTTCCTAACCACTATAGCCTTGCTATATGGGCCCCCTTCGATTCCCAGTCCATCTGCTCATACACCTACTAATTTATAGGCCTCCATTCAAATCCATATGCCTGCATCCTACCAGCCAGTCCCAACATACAGCCCCATCTTTTCATCTTCAATCCTATATTGTGCACCCTAATATTTACCCCTTATCCCAAATGCTGACCTGATGATTCTCTAGGGATTCTCTGCTCTTTTTGGTTCCCAAGTGACTGGCAAACACTGTTCTGCAAAAGGCTAACTGTCAATAGAAATGCTTATTACTCCTGTATCGTCAGCAAACTCATAAACTGTTCCTTGCACTGACACTTCCTAAAAAATACTCAAAGAAAACATGAAGGCAGCTATAGCCTGTCCCCAGGGCATCAAGTCTGCCAAAGTAGATCCTTGTTGTTTTAGAGAGGTTTCAGATAAACTCGTGGGCTACTGTCCATGGACAAAGACAGGATTGAGAATCAAACCCCCGAAGGGCATAAAAGTGAACAGCGGAGCAATCTGTACAGCCAACATTATGTATAAAATCCAAAGTTCCCAGCCTCAGAGGAGATGTGGTTGTGGACTCGGTATTCTGTCTCCAAGTTTAACTTGTATGTATGAAATCCATCATCAGTAAACAGCTGTGTTGATCCCAAAGGCCCCTTTCACCTAACACTTTTAGCCCTTGCATGGCTCTAGCTGATTATAGGTCTGTGTCTTCTTTAACGGGATGCCCAAGTGATAAGGGTATTTGGGGGGGGGGATGTTTACATAGAAGATATAGAGCTAAAATCTGTTCCTGTACGGAATAAAATCGAAGAGGTTACTCCTGATCTATTAAAAGTGTTATTCCGCACGTCTTACCTCTGAGTAACCTGCTGCAAAAAGCAGAGTTGTTACACTGTCACCGAGACCAGAATTTGGCCCGTTATCTCATCTTATTCTATATAAGAAGAAAATTCTGAGTAATTTCTAAAAATTTACCTTCACCACTCCTTCTGTTTTCCTTCACAGACACCAGGTAGATGCTGGACCCTATTAGTAAAGTCTCCCTTGTAGTCTCTCAGTACAGCCTTTGCTCTACTTGAGCACCACCCAGTTTCACTCAGCAGGTGGTCGGGGCAGAGGCAGTAAACCCCAGGACCAGCAAGGAGAACCTCCTGAGGAGGCTAGAGAAAAGGAGACTGTCACGCCTCACACTTGGCAACCTGCAGCCCAGGGGCCACCTCAAGAGAAGCTAGCAGCTCAGAAATGCTTATTTTTATACTGGTGTTTCGCTAAACTTGAGACACGAGCTAGGGTATGAAAGCAGGATTTGGTTGGCTCGCTCATGGCTGGCTTGATTTGACCCTCGGAGGGCCAAATCCATTGTTGGTGTAACTCCACTGATAAAAGAGGATTTCCACCAGGCATTGGATTGGTCTGGAAAGTTCATAACTACGGCACGTAGTTTGACCAGGAAAATTAAAAGGAAAGCAGAATTATGCAAAGGACTGGGCAGTCTAATCCTCTTCCACCACCATCTGTAGACCCCCATGCGAATGTACTGAATTACATTTGCCAAAGAGTTTCTTGTGTTGGTTGTTTTGATTTACAGTCGGTGGATGCATTGTAAAGCAGTATTATAGCTAAAGTCTAGTAGCTGACATGGGGATTTATGTGGTGATATTATGCAGAAGAAAACCATCAATATTCATATAGATTCCATTAGACTGGACTATGCAGGAAACGCAAAAATTTTACCAATTATTTAATATTATGTTATTTGCAAAAACAATTGCTGCTTTGTAGGAAGATAATGTGTGTAATGTGAAGGCAATTCCTCTTGTATATAAGTTCATCTCCATCTTCATCATGGTAGTTATTAAAACAGCCTCGTCTCATCCTGTAGATAAGGAACACGCTGTCTGTACTGTGCAAGTCTCGTTGTGCTCACTGAAAACAAAACAATGTGTTCAATAAAGCACAGCACAAATCCAGAACCTGAGGGAACAGCCAAACCTTGGAAGGACCCCTTCCCCAACAGGCCAACAGTTGCTTTGTTATAGGTGGATTTTTTTTTTTCATTTTTCTTTAAAAAGTTTTACAGGAAAAAATGAAAAAGAATTGGAGGAAGAAATCACTATGCAAAATCCAGTGAAGTCTATGACTCACATCTCTCTCCTCCATTCTGCTGTCTCTTCCCTTTCTCCCATTTCTTTCTCACACCCTCCTTCCGTTCCATTTCTCTCTCTCTCTCTCTTTTATTATTCTTCATTCCCAATGCAGTTTTCTATCCAGAGAGGGAACAGCATTACTGATATGAGAGCAGGTATCTGGGAACTCAAACTCCCCAATTCTCCTCGTGGCTCTAGAGAACCTTTGTCAAGTCCAATTTCCCCCCATGCCTCAATTCCAATCTTCTGTAAAATGGGGATAACAATAGTTCCTAGTTCACAGGGGGATTGCGCAGCTGAATTAATTAACACCGGCTCAGTGCTTTGAGATCCTGGAAAGAAAATTCTATCAAAGTGTTAAGTATTATTCTGAATAATAATGAATATTTCCATTACATTTCTCTCTCTTCCTTTTTCTCACAAATCCTTCTTCGTTTCTTTATTCTTCTTCCTGAGCTCTCCCTTCACTTCTTTCTTCTCCTATCATTCTTAGCTCTGCTGCTATGTTTGCTTTATCTAATGGACCAAGCAGAAATATTGTGTGACTGGATCTCCTTCTGTCACCATTTTTTCGCGGGGGAGGAATCTCGCGAGTTCTCAAATGCCATGCTTCACTGGAAGCAACAGGGACCGTGGCATTTAAAACTGGGCAGCACTTTCAAGTCCTGTTCTCTGAAGCTCCCACGTCCTTTTGGCCCGATGGGGCAAGAAGGAGGGAGGTTTGCGCAGGGCAGATGCATTAAAGCTGACACCCTTGTGACCCGTGAATCTGTTGGGGAGGGTTGGTGGCAACGAGCCCTGCTGTGGAAACAGGGAGAAGTCTGCATGCTTTCTGACCCATCGGTAGCGATGATTCAAATTCAGAGTAAGACTTCAGAATTAATCACAACGTGAATGTGAGGATGTTAAACAAACAACAAAAGGAAAACAAAAAACCCTGCACCTCTTTCTCCTCCTGAGTATATAATTCTATATGCACATAAACATTTTCCTAAAGGAATTTTTGTTTTGCTGAACTGTTGGAAAACCCCCACCCTTTTGTCCCTAAGGAAAAGCACCCCTCTGGGAAAAGAAATAAGAAGCATAGCTGCCCCCTTTGGCACGGACAGAATGAGGGCTTCTGAGGGACCCCACAAATACCACAGTGTGCTCCTTGGCTGGGCCCAGGACGGTGGCAAACTTGTAAAGCAGGAAGGAGGGACCAAACAATGACAAGTACAGAACTGATGACAAATCCAACCGTAAGCAGCTCTGCTGATGCTCTCCAGGCTAAGCTAGACATGAGACCAGGGAGGGGAGGGGGCCAGTGCCAGGTGCAGGGTCATATCCATTCTA